ACCCCACGCCTCGACGGCTCCCCTCGTACCTCGACAACGCCCTCTGTACGCTCAACAACGCACCCCTCGCTCACCTCGACAACGGCCCCTCGTACCTCGACACGCCCCTACGACTCGGCTCCCCCTCGTACTCGACAAAGCGCCCCTCCTTACCTGCGACAGCACGCCCCCTCGTACCTCGCAGCCGCCCCCCTCGTACCCTCACACCCGCTCTACCTCGACAGCGCCCCTTCGAAGTCGATGCCGTCGACTCGAGCGAGTCGACGTGACACGTTGGCGGCGTCGAGCGTCGTCAGCACGTGCCTTGGCCGCTTCTCCGGCGGCGATGCGCAGCTTCCCGCCGCACGCGGCTCTCGCTGCACGTCGCCCCTCCAGTATCCTAACTAAGATGCTGTGGCAGAGAGAGGAGAGAGAGACGAGAGAGAGAGAGAGAGACGAGGAGAGAGAGGAGAGCGAGAGCAGAGAGAGCAGAGAGAGAGAGCAAGAGAGAGAGAGCAGAGAGAGACGAGAGAGAGACACGAGACCGAGAGAGAGAGACTGAGACGAGATGAGATGCAGAGAGAGAGAGAGAGAGCACGAGAGAGAGGAGAAGAGAAGAGAGAGAGAGAGAGAGGACGAGAAGAGAGTGAGAGACGAGGAGAGAGAGAGAGAGAGCAGAGAGAGAGAGAGAGAGAGAAGAGAGAGAGAGAGAAGAGAGAGGAGAGAGAGAGAGAGAGAGAGAGAGACGAGAGAGCAGAGAGAGAGCAGAGAGAGAGAGAGAGAGAGAGAGAGAGAGAGAGAGAAGAGAGAGAGAGAGAGAGAGAGAGAGAGGAGAGACGAAGGAGAGACGAGAGAGAGGAGAGAGATGAGAGGAGAGAGAGACGAGAGAGAGAGAGAGAGAGAGAGAGAGAGAGAGCAGAGGAGAGAGAGAGAGCAGAGAAGAGACGAGCGGAGATGAGAGAGGGGGGAGGGAGAGACAGAGGCGAAAGAGAGAGAGAGCACGAGAGAGCGAAGACGAGAGAGAGAAGACAGGAGAAAGAGAAGGGAGGGAGGAGAGTATGCATAGAGAGCAGGGAACAGAGCGGCGACGCAGTAGATAGAGAGAGGAAGAAGAGGGAGGGTCGGGAGCATAGATGTAGGAGAGATGGAGAGACGGGAAGAGAGGGAGGTGAGGGATGATAGATATGAGAGAGAGGAGAGAGAATATATTATATATATATAGAGAGAGAGAGAGAGAGAGAGAGAGGGAGGGAGGGAGATAGATACAATACATATATACAAGAACGGTGAAAAAAAAACTGCCGCTATCTTAACAGTGCAAAAAATTGATGTGGTACACCAACGCATTGCTGCATACATATAAAAAAGTACAGTGACGGAAACTATTCTGCGGTGTTAAAAAATGAAACATCGCAGAACGAAATCAAACAGCGCAAGCGCACCACGCTAACGAAACGAAAAACATCACAAAACAAAGCGAACAATCGCCAACGAATGGCAATCAAACCTGAACAAAATACACACACAAAAATCATCGCAGAACACCTGTTCGTTAATCGAACGCTATTCAAAAAAAATGTGTTACTCAACGACGATCGATAATAATAACGGCATTGGATTTCCTACTCACCTGATCTCGCGCGGGTCATCTTGCCCGATTCCGTACGCCAGCGCGGCGGCGGTTGGTTCGTTGATGATCCGCAGAACGCGGAATCCCGCCTTGTGCGCCGCCTGGCTGAAAGTAGCAGACAACATGGGTACAGTGGCTCCACCTGTGATGTCACGCGGGAGACTTCACGCGTATCTGATTGTGCACGAATCTGACTCAGCTATTTATGACAACAGGTTTGCGTGTTTTCTCACCCTAGGCAGTCCAGCAAGGACAGACAGCGTAACATGGAAATGCTGACTGAATATGTTATAAAAAAATGTTTTCTTTTACAACTTTTCTACTGGAAACATTGTTCGTCACCATCTTTCACCGGTAAAAAATCTGCTTACCAGAGAAAATATGAAAATTGAGGTTGAAATGAACATATTTCTACTTTTTCATGGACAAACAGATTTGGTGCCGGTAAACTGACGGTAGTAGAATATCCACATACATACAGTGAAAAAAATACACGGGGGCTCGGGGCGATTTAGCCCCCGAAATGCCAAAAAGAGCCCCCGTAAATTTGCATAGTGTTCAATGCAAACCAAATTTTAGAGTGCTATTTTCATGCACGCGAGCTTGAAAAGTAGCCCCCGAAAAAGACATTTTAATTTTTTCCCTGCATACATATATTATACATATATACATACGTATATATAATTATAATATACGTATATGGTTTATTCATCTGATAGATAGCCGATCTCAGAACGTCACAAACCAGGTGCTTTCTTTCACGCATCAAGATGTCGTGTTTGTCGTCGTGCTCGTTGCCATGCCTACCTGATGAGTCGTCTGCGTTTGTGAGAGCAGCGGATCGGCACCGTCAGCACGACGTTCAGCTCACTGTCGCTCGTGTGAAGATGGCTGACGGCCGTGTCTGAAACACAAGAGCGCGCGAGCGTTACCCAACGGCGGCACCCGCCGGACCACGAAAAGCACGTCTCGTGCCCGGCGAAAAACACGGCATAACCACGCATAGATTGATCAGACGGGGGGGGTTAACGTATCACAACGATGCAGATTACATCAGAGATGAGTAATTCATCACCTTTCACGTTTCTATACACTGCAGACAAGATGTCCTCCGGTGTGAAGGTCTTCGGTTTGCCATTGTTGTCAACCTCGTAGATGGGAGCGCCATCTTTGTTCACGATCTGCAGGGAAAAAATTTTTCATTTTCATTTTCGGCTAGAAAATAGTAGAATGTGATTAGAGGACAGGTGTAATGAATTGTTGATCGTGCGACTATGAATAGATATATTAAGGAAAAGACCTCTGCAGAGTGATCACATTGTGTAATAATACACCACTAGGTTAAAGTGTAAATCAAAGTACATCTCTAGATGAAATTATGATTTTAGCAAAACGTTGAGAACACTGCAGCAGAAACAGACCTACACAATGAAATGCAATGCAATACAATAATATAGATACCTTTTGTTGTGTACCGATCACTTCCAAAAAAAATTGCACGTTAGAATTCATTTTAGCACGTAGATTTTTTAGGCACTCGTGATTTTTCGCAAGTTGCTAAAATTGCAAAATTCGTCCCCTGTCAGGCCATCCTTAAAAAATTATATGTTTGCTGTCCTCCGACCGACCCACGAAAATAGCCAAGACCCAAA